TCAAACAAACATTCATCTAAGAACATAAAACTTCAAGAAATGAATGTCACAATGCTATGCCATGTTATGAGGTAAAACTCACACATGCAATGCAACCCGAGCCTTCCATNCTGTTCAATTGCTAGAGTGATTAAGGGGGGAATGAAAACATTCATTTCATATGGTACTCTTCTAACTTTCTATGTGCATTGCAGGTTAGAGAGAACGATGGGATATGTTGGTTGTTGAGACATGGAAACTTCAAAGTTGTTGCTTTGCAACCATGCACCCATGGGTGAGGGTTTCAAGCATTATCTTTAATTATTCCAAGAACCTGAACCACGTGAACTATACCACCTAAAAGAAAATTTCAAGATACGAGAGCTAATATGTGCCGCCCCTAAAACCAGGGGTCCTTTGTCAACCCGTTAATTACCAATCAATCCACGAAAGTACCTGTGAATGTTGTATAACCTGACGCCACGTCATAACATCCCCTCACCGGGATCGTAACCAATATAGAGTTTAGGCAGAGTCTCCCTTGCACCGGGTACTCACAACGCATTACCCGTATACATTTCAATTACTTGATCATTCCAATTTCCAATAGACATTAATTTGTCCTTAATATTACTCCATTTACCTCATTTGAATAAAAGGGCTCAAGGCCGATAGGCTTGACAAAGTTATTTTGAATTTTTGAAAATTTTGGAGGAGTTATCGATAGCTCATGTACGTACTACCGGTAGTTGAGCCCTCTGCCAGCGAGCTACCAGTAGCTACCCATTGCCAGCGAGCTACCAGTAGCTCAAGACTTGCTACTGGTAGCTGAGTCTACTAGAATCGTGCTACCAATAGCTAATTAATGTGCTACCAGTAGTAGGGCCCAGTTTTCCCTCAATTCAATCATTTTTCAATTTTGACTCACTCAATCTCATACAACGTTTACCCAAACTTGTATAGCATCTAATTTTACACAAAATATAGTCCATATGAGTTAATTATACTATTATTTATACAATCTTACAAGTCCAAAACCAATTACACGATCATTTTACAAAATGCAATCTCAAAACCACATGTTGGCTTCTTCTTAACAAGGTTCCATGTGAGGGCCGTCCATCGGCACTTGTCCTGCACCTGAAATGTTGTCCCCATACAGGGTGAGTCACGCTTAATAAGGTATCTCCTAAAGAGACTACTCCCCAAACTATATATGTATGAAATACTCACATACAATTCAACAATCAAACAAACATTCATCTAAGAACATAAAACTTCAAGAAATGAATGTCACAATGCTATGCCATGTTATGAGGTAAAACTCACACATGCAATGCAACCCGAGCCTTCCATCGGCTCCCATAACACATGTACTGTCATGTGTATGAATTCAGGTATTCTAAGCCCCTGTCATTGATGTTACACATCCAATGACCATTTATTAATTTCAGGTCTTTCTTAGAGTGGGTATTTATAGGCTTTCACCAATGGGCACCCAACCGAAGCAAACTTCATGACGGACAAAAAATGTACTCAGTGCTTTCGGATTAATTCTGGTCCATTGAACATGGCCTTCTATTCTCATAAAGATGTTGCAAAAATAACCATTGTGGCAGAAATTAAACATCATAATAGTTGTCACAACTCCTTAATTTTAAATCACATAAAATAGTAAAAGCTTGGGCAAAAATATCATCATAAAAATATAGACTTGGTAATGTTTAGATCTTATTTTCAAACTTCACTTTACTCTATGCAACACAAGAAACAAAACTCCAACATTTATTATCAAAAGGTTTAGACAGAGTGGTAACCAACCAAATGGTCCTTTTTAATTTCTGATAACAATGTATTGCACTTTGCACTCTTAGAAAATGTATTTTAGCACTTTTAGCATTGTTGAGGGAGGTTTAACACGAAAGACTATAGACGACCATAATTAAAGAATACTCAATTTCTAGTATATATCATGAGGCTCATTATGTCAACTACTTCCCATTGTCCACAAGCACAACGGTACTTATATAATTAAAAGAAAAAAGAATAAATCACCAAAAGTATGAATCCTAGGGAGAAAGACCACCATGCTTGACCAACATAAATGATTTTCTCAAAATGATTGCATCAACTAAATAAAAGCTAATCTTTTAAATATGGTAATGAGTTGAATATCTAATCAATAATAGTTAACTCAAACTTAAAGTCAAAACATTTAACTGTCATATCATTGCCTTATCATCAAATCTTAACAACAATGACATACTAATTTAATGGATCTATGTTGTCTTTGAGTGTCTAGTCAATCACAATATCAATCTCTAATTAATATATCAAAGCACCATAATATCAGCAAGTATACTGCACAGTTTCTTTCATAAAGCCCCCAAGCCATTTCATAAATTGCAAGTAGAATCAAGAATTAAGAGCATGTTCATAAGTTGTAATACTCCAAATGGAATTATTGTGCACCCTCAAATTTATCCTACAAAAGTAAAAACAAAAACACTTACGTAAATTGCAATCGCTCTGATTGAGCCCCATATTGCTTCCATCTATCATGCAATAAAACAAAGTTTATGACACCTTAAAAAAAAGGAAAAAAATTAAAAACTAAGCTTTCATTAATCAAGTATTCCACCTACCATGAAAGAGGTTCAGCCGCAGAGGCAGACATGTTTATCTTATACTACATCTACTTCATCAATGCTTGCAAAATCTCATTTGTCGTATTTGGTTTGCCCCTTGCATCTGCTTCATCAATTCTTGCAAAATCTCATTTGTTGCCTTTTGGGTTCCCTTAATCACTTCCAAGCCCTTTTGTTGAGCATTGAGGCCTTTTGTCGAGCATTGAGTTTTTCTTCCAACTCATTGGCCCTTTTGTTAGCTGCTGTAACGCCCCAAAACCCACCCTGGACGACATTACAAACTAAAAATCATTCACATCATAAGAGCAACTAAATAATTCATCCATAAAGAAATTTCATACATCAAAGGTAATCTTTACAATCTCGTTCCCAAAAGAATATGATCCCAAAAGTAAGATAATTACATCCCAAAAGGATTAAACATAAACTTGTAGCGGAATTACAAAAGAGTCTAGACTTCACAATATTTCCAAAGTAAATTTCCTAGTCTAGAATAAAAAGTAATGTTGTTCTAAGCGTCCACCTCGGGATCAACATGCCCGTCTACGGGAATCTCCCAGTGTGCCGGTTCCTCAATTTCCAAATCCTCCTCTAGTACATAATCTAAAAATTGTAGTTTGTAGGGGGGTGAGCACTAAGCTCTATAGCAACATTCCTCCCAAACTCGAATAAAGTTTAGAAAAGCATATAAAAATGGTCGGTCACCTTTCACGAATAGCATATATGAATTTTGAAAGAAAACGTGATATTTTCAAAAGATCTCAAGTTTTTACATTAACAATAAATAAGTACAAGAGTAAAGTCAACCTCACCAAAAATAACCATTCCAAAGAGTAAACATACCCATAACGATTTCCACGATAATCATGTCCAAAAGATAATGCAATAGACAATAACCGCCATGTATCTCAAGTCTGATGTAAGATAATCTCATAAATAACACATAGATGATATCCTAGCCCACACACACACAAATCCTCGCAAGGATATCAAACTTTGGGAAGGGTGCCTACCGATACATTGTCCCATACCAATGCACCGGCAATAACGAATCCGACCCAGGCATAGTATACTAATCCTCTGACACGGCACCCGTGAGCTAATAGTGGTTTGGTCCTCGCAAGGCACCAACCTCACTACGAGTGGTAGGAAAAGTTCAAACCCGCCCGGAGTAAGAACCACCACATCTACCCACTCTACGATACCCGGTCAATGACCACCCATGGTCATCCAAACACCTCCATGAGATACAATCACCAATAATTTCCTCAAATAATAACAATTCCATAAATCCCCAATTTCACATGTAGAATTTCAATAAAACAATTGAAGAAAAATAAGCAAGAGATCATCATCAATATCATTTTAGTACTCAACACAAAGCACTAAAGTTTCAAAGTCAAGAACAAAGGAAGAATCAAGAATAAAGTCCATCTCTTTTGAAAACTAGGGTTTTATATCAAGAAAATGAGATTTCATGGGTATTCAACCCTAACTTTGTTTAAAACACACTAATAATTGCCAAAAACCAAGGAAAGATGATTTCATAGCAAATATATAAGATTTAGAGTCAATATATATATATATATATATTAGCCCTAGCATCAATGGACAAGAATGGAAGAAAACACCCTACCTTGTTGTTCTTGAAGAAGCTAGGTTTGATCTTTAATCCCCTTTAGAACTCTTGTTCTCCCCTTCTTTCTTCCTCTCTAAGTCTTTCTATTAGGATTTTAAGAGGTGTGGAGTGAAAGAATGGGAGTAAATGTAGTGGAAATGGGGTTTTAAAAGTAGAAAATCCTGACTTTTTAACTATCTACTAGTAGTTCATATCTAGCTACCGGTAGTTCGGATACACTGACAACCTGCTACCTGTTGAGCTACTGGTAGTTCGAAACTACTGGATATTTACTACCTGTTGACTACCAGTAGTTCGGATCCACTCGCCATTGACTACCTGTTGACTACCGGTAGTTCGGATCCGCTGGACAGCATACTACCGGTAGGTCCTGTCCAAATTTGCCTATTTCATATATTTTTCATTTCAAACCCATTCCAAACCCTTCCAAATCCAACCTAAGCTTATTCAACATGATTTTGTACCTCAAACCTAGTTTGTACAAGTTCTATTACAACTATTTCATATTTTTGCCAGCTAAACTAAGTTTTAACTACTATTTCCTCGAATTTCCATATTAACATTTCCAAAAGAAGTAATAACTTGCTACATAAACCTTCATACATAGATAAAGATAAAAGGGTGGGGTTTACAGCTGCCTTCAACTTTAATTTATTATGGTGATTGGATAAGGATCGTCTAGGCTTTGGACCATGCCTATGGCCACTTATGTACCCCGACTTGTGTCCAAGAACCTATGAGTAAATTTCCTCCTCACAAATTGGTGCTTCATTCTGTCCTATGGGTTGTGACTGTAGCTCCACCATTTGCTCCTAAAGTGGCAAGACATATAAATTTTAAATTACATTAGTTCAATTAATATGCTGATAAACAAAAATTTTAACCAAATTGATAACTTACATAGTTATGATGTGCATGGTCATTCACCCAAGAGTGTTTCTTATTACTATAGTGAGTTATCCTATATAACTCAATTGGCCCATGCACTTCACTAGTTTGAGCAGTCTACATCAATTCAAATATGTGAATTAGTTTTTAAAACATATCACTATGCATATCATACACTCTAAAATTGAGAATTGTGTTGCTACCATTTCAACACCATTCCGAGTAAAAGAGTTTGTCGTAGTTAAATGAGGTGTGTTTTGCATTGCCTGATTCCTTGCATTTTGAGCACTCATTTTCTACATTAAAATAGAACAAGTGTCTTACATTATAAATAATTTAAATGAACAAAGGGAATTGATTTTGTTTAGTATCTATAGCAAGTTCATAAACCTTAAATTCATCAGAAAAAAAGTAAGAACAAAAATAATTCTAATCTTCTTGTGGCACGTCTAGTGGTGGATGTTGCATTGCTACTTCTATCGTTGGGTATGACAATAAGTAGTTCTTGTGTGGCTTATGGCGATAATTCCTATGTTGTGTGTTCATTTGGGAAAATTTTATATCTTTAACCTATCCATCATGGAGATTGAACGATTCTTACAAAAAATAGTGAATTGTTTACATTATAAACAACGAAGACACTATGAGAAATAAAGGTAACATCAATTGAATTGCAAAACAAAAAATAAGTAACTTTGTTTAATGGATGTAGAAAAACCAAAAACCTCCTTTTATTAACTTTGTTTCCTACTCCTCCTCTTATTTTCTTGTTTATTTTCTCATACTTGCAACATCTCCTAAATTCTACATGATTTCATATCCTTCAAACTTTTGTTTTGCTATGATTTAGCAATGAGGCAATGCTTAAAAAGATGCATTGTGATGCCCCAACTGAACTTTTGTTATTTGCTTAGTTCATACTTTAGTTCTTAATAATGGGAGAGTTCATGTTGGGTTCGTTCTAATCCAACCTCTATTCAGCTCAATATACTCCTTTAGACTAAACAACCATCGTATCTTCTGCTCAATAACCTATTTGGTTAACATGCATTTATCAGGTAGAATTTGTTGCATTTATCCTTTGTCTCAATACATTAAAATACATAGTCTAGTTGAAATGTTTGAGTACTTGGAAAAGCACTTACCTTGGCCATTTGGAGTAAACTCTCCCAATTGTCTTTGTCAAGCACTTACCTTGGCCATTTGGAGTAAACTCTCCCAATCGTCTTTGTCAATCTTTGACCATTTTGTCACTTGAAGAGGTGCATGCTTCTGAACAGTACATCCTAACTTTGTTATAAGTTGTTGGCGTTCCAATCCTACTATTTGCCCAAGCTCTTCAGGCATCTTGACATTAAGCTTCTTACCGGCTTGCTTTTTTTTTTTTTTTTGCAAGCGCAATATTTTGGGTTGGTACCCATTTCCTCCTCGTTAAGGATGACTTTGAAGATAAAGTGTGAACAATGTTGGTAGATTATTTTGTTGAGAACCTTATTTTTTCATAAAATTAAAACATAAAGGCAATTAAATAAAAAAAATTAAAAATGGAGCTTTTATAAGTCAATAATTTGAACAATATTTAACAATAATTCCATTAAACAAACATACCAACATTATGTTTGACATGTCCCTCTAGCAAAGGAAAATTATGCACTCTCGTGGAACCAAGAGACTCTCGTGCGAGTGGCGATGTACCACCATTAGCACCAGTCTGTGTTTGTTTATTACATAGTAAGGAAACCGGAAGCAGTAATGATAATTGTCCTCCACCACCCCTAGCAGCTCCTCGTTTCCCCGATCTATCCATCTATGTGCAATGAAGCAACAAAATAATACAACAAATGAATATCAATTGCATAAATACAAATGGTTATGCAAATCTATGTGTGTCTATAATGAAAATACAAGTATTGCAACAATGTAAAATTTCCCTACTATAAAGTGAATTACACCGAAACCTTACCCTTAGTCAGAGTCACATTCGTCATTAATGAATTTATCATCTTTGTCAATATCATCACTATAGGAATCTTCCTCGATATCATTGTCATTAATGAAGTACATTTTTCATTGGTTGGTCACATAATATATTATCTACATCAATACATCCTAATGAGATCATATAATCTTTTTCTAATGATGGCATTTCATCAATTTCCATTGAATCAAAAACCTCATCAGGCACATGTACTTGTTAAGGCTCCTCACCAGAAATCAATTATTCTTCAAACTGTTTAGGAACATCAAAAGACCTGCAAGGTTGAGTTCTCTCTATAACACACCAATTTTTCCCTAACTTCAAATCTTCAATATAAAAAAACTTGGTTTGCTTGAGAAGCAAGCACAAAAGGTTGGTCCTTATACCAAGTTCGTGATACATTTACACTATTATGTTCCAATCCTTGTCTATTTGGATACTTGTACTATCCTTTACATCCCACCAATCACACTTGAATAGCATCACTCGATTCTAGCTAAGTAGATATTCTAACTCAATAACTTCAATGATCATGCCATAGAAGTCTATCACTATCCCATCATGTTCTCCCTCCACAACCACCATTATTTTGTGTTTTCCTTTTCCTCTGATGATCTTGAATGTGGAACCTAAACCCATTTGCATTACAACCCGTGTAGTGTTTCACTCGATTATTAGGACCCTTGGCAAGGGACAAGAGTTCTTTGCAGCATGCCCTTCATGGCATAATTTTTTAACCTATAGATAGAAGTGAAAATTTTCAATAGAACCCTAGCCAAGTAATCAAAAACACATTGTTTTGATAATAGCAACAAAAATAGGTAGATTTCAAAGTGCACTTACACGTTGTTCGAACCATTTAGGAAATTGAGAGTTATGCCTTTGATTGACATTCCCTATACTCTCAGCTTTCAAAATTTCCTTATGCTCGTTATACATTAAGTATATATCATTATGACCCAAAATTAACTAATACCAAGGCATAAATCTAATGAGTAAACTTAAAATTTTAAGTACAATTATTTAGAAAATTAAACTTACACTGTAAAATCTTGAACATCTTCACAATTATTCAACACATAATTCTGAGCCTTTCTTACACTAAATATTATTCAACTTGGCATATATGGTCCCACCAAATGCATGAAAATTTTATACAAATATAGACAACTCGCTCGACTTTGCACCTCTGTCATAGTTCTATTCTGCTCGACTGAATCTCCGTCTCAACATTACCCAAGTACATAGAGCAAAAATTCAACCATTCATTGTGAATAATTAAAAAGAAAAACATGATTGATATACTTAAGTACATATCTCTTTAGTTTCCCCATTTGCCTATTAATATACAAAATATAAGAATTAAGACACAATTGAAAAAGAAAAACATGATTGATGCTTAAGTAATCGTTTGATAAATAAATTATTAAACACCTTTCAAATGGAAACATCCATCGGTATGGGATTGGTCTAGCAAGCTTGGATTCTTTAGCAAGGTGAACCATTAAGTGTACCATTATGTCAAAGGACCATAGGGAAAATAAACGGTCAAGTTTGCACAATGTCAAATCAACCTGCCTTTCAAGTTTCTCCAACACATCTAAGTACAACGTCCTAGAACATAACTATTTGAAAAAACTACCGAGTTCAACTAATGACCGACACACTTCCTTACCCAAGGATCCACGTATTGCCACTAAGAGTGTCCATTGAAGGAAAATGTGATAGTCGTGACTCTTCAATCCTAAAATACGACACTTTTTTACCTTCACACATCAAGAGATGTTTGAGGTAAAACCATCTGGAAACTTGATGGAAGTCAAGAATTCAAATATTGATGGATGGAATATGGCAAACCCATTTTCATTTCGCAACATACATGAAGCATAGACTGTAACATGTTTATAATCACTGGGAAAGTTGAAGCATAAAAATATAAAAGAGAGACAAACACTAGCAATCCATAAAATTGATTGAATGATGAGGAATAAATTTTGTGTTACGGACTCGAATTCAATGATTAAAGCGTGAAAAATAAAGAAATACCTATAATTAGAGGCAATGAACCATAACCCTCGTAATTGAGAGAGATATAGAGATAGACTAGAGAGAGTGAGAGAGCGAGAGAAACAAATCGATAGAGGATGTGAAAAACAATCATAGTAGAATCCTGCAAGAATTTGTGACAAGCTAGGATGAGAACGTGATCAGTTGAGAAGATAAGTGGGTGAATGATAATATTTCTTCAAGCTTTTCTTCCGTTCTCTGCCCTTCTGCTCAAAAAAAAAAAAACAAATATGTCGGCCCTAGCTATTAGGTGATAAAGTGGTGTTATTATATAATAATATAATATAATATAATTGTTATACATTACTCTTTTAGTTAGGATAAAAATCATATTTAATCTAGTTAAAAAGCTAAGAGTTTCACATACCAAAAATAGCACTTTTTTATTAAAATTAATTGACAAACATAAATAGTACATAAGAGTAGGTTTGTCAATTGTGTCAAGTAAGAGTAATATGAGTTTGTATCGAGTCTTAACGAGTTTGTGTCTTAAAATAATCCACGCATAACTGATTCATTTATTAATTCGTGTTTAAGGAAACGTGACATATTAAGTTTGTATTTTATATGAATCATGTACAATCGGAATATAACGACTCATATTATGTATTTCTTTTTGATTGACTTCACTCATATCCGATTTGGTTTGTAATCATATCATGTCCACAAGTTTACAAAACGGATTACTTAAGAAAGAATCAAACCATTTAATTTCATATTGTATTCAAGTCATGTATAATGAATCGCGTCATATTTTGAAACCCTATATATGATATGAAAATTTTGGATTAATTTATAACCATTTAGGACAAGTGCACAATCGATTATCCAGCTGATAAGCAAATATTGATTTCAACCAAACCAATTAGAATACAAATCCAATTTGAAAACTCTGATTCTATTACCTGCTGTATTTCGTTTTTAATGTCTATATATGTACTCTTTAAAAATTGAAATTTAGTTTGATTAAAATTATTTAATTAATAGCATATTCATATTTGGATTTAGTTTAATCAATTATAATGGGTTCAGATTATTTGACCAAACTAGGTTTCAATATATCAAAATTTGAATATATCGTATGCATTATAAATGATTCATACTCAAATTCAAATAGTCTAAAATAAACTTCAATCTATATTCAATTAATTAAATTTGAATTTGTATACAATTTTGTATTCAGGTCAAATATGGATCGCAATTCGATTTATTTATAGGCTTAATTTATTTGCATCCTTATTTTAAGTACTTGGAGGGTCAAGGTCCATATAATAATGTTGTCCCTGATGATGCCAGAAATTGTCTTCCAAGCATAAAAAAGGTAGAGTGGTTGTCAGTTGGTTTAAGTTTTGAACTGGTGGTTTTAAGAGTTTTCAGTTCACTAGGTTTGGTCAAAATTGACCGATTTTCAGATTTTTCAACGATTTGATTATACCAGTTATCTTTTTAGTGAACCAGAGCATTGAAGGACCCGCTTCACTAGTCAGACTGGGCAGTCCGGTCCAGTCCGATTCGGATAAAGCGATTGACACTATTATAAGTGAAAAACTTAAATTTGTCACTAAATACCTCATAGTTCTCATTAGTTTATGCAAAAAGTGACGTGTGGTTAGATCGCCACTAAATAATTGGTGTTAGATTGATTATTTAGTGACGACACTAAAAACTTGTTGGTAGAATGCTTCCCTGCAACACATTTTAGCACCAAAAAATTCCCACCTCAAAATTAATGATAAAGTTATTAGTGACAAGTTTTAATTCATCACTAATAGCACCTTGGTTCATACCAAATAGTGACTCACGACTAAGTCATCATTAAATAGTTGGCCTAGATTGTTTATTTAATGACAACGATAAATAATTGCCGCTTAAATTCTTCCCTTCAACTTATTTTTGCGCCAAAATATTCCTGCCCCCAAATTAGTGATCAAATTGTTAGCAACAATTTAAATTTTGTCATTAAGACCACCTTGGTTCATAAAAATAGTGGCTAGTGGACAATTCGTGACTAAAGAGTTATCATTTGATTGATTATTTAGAAACGACATTAGATTAATTGTCACTAAAGTACTTCCCTCCATTTTTTTGGTGCCAAATATCTCCCACCTCAAATTTAGTGACAAATATTAGTGACAAAGCTAATGTTGTCAGTAACAATACTCAATTTTATGAAATAAGTGACAATTTTTTTAGCTTGCCACTAAATATTTTGGGTTAGTGGTCAATATTTATTTTCCCCACTAAGCATTAAATTTTAGTGATGATATATGTTTCATCACTAATACTTTCACCACTAATAAGC